CCCCCCCCCCACCGTACACATGTACTGTTCCTGGGGGTTCACTTTGCTCCGGGGAACCGGGACTGGGTGCCGGCGCCGAGGGTGCTTCGCGCGCCCCCTGCCGGCCGCCGCCGGGCCCCCAGCTAAGTGAGGTTCAGCGGGCAGAGCGAGCCGAGCCTGCCGGCCGCCTCTGTGTGTGTGTTTGTTTGTCGTCGTTTCGTTGAAACACTTTGTCGGCCTGGTGATGTTCAAACCCGGGACTGTTTGGCTAGGAAGAGGCTGTGGATGAGGAAGTGCCAGGTATGGCGTGAACTGACTGCGCTTCTCCTGCTTAGGGTTACCGTTTGATGGAGGGAACATCTCCAGCCCTACAAACACATACCCCAACTCTAGCTTCCCCCAGATCAGATGCCAAGCCTGCACACACTGAGTCGGGCCCTGATGCCATGTGGGTGTGGGTGTGTGAAAAAGTAGAGAGAAGTTAACCTTGGCCTTCTGAAGTGGTCGGATGGGAGGATTAGTGGCTTCTTTGTTTCGCTGTTTTCCCTCCTAGAAAGCTGACGGAGACAGAAAGCAGCCCCGAGGCCTTGCGTTTCCAAGTCTTTAAGTCCTCTCCTGTGGGGTGGGTGAAAGCGAGGTGGAGGACGATCCCTCCAGCGGCGTCAGGACCCTGGACAAGACCCTACTCTCTTGTGGCCTAATCTAGCATTGTCCCCTCTAGGCTAGGAAGCCTTAAATTGTGGTGAGAACACAAACGCTAACCAGCTCCTATTCTAAAGTTTATGGGAGCAGGAGGCCCCCACCAGGACTACTGGCGATCGAAAAGATCAAACCTATCCACGAAGATCCGGTGATGGGTCGTTCTTCCGTGGTAGCTTTGTGTAGGTCTGAGCCCATGTGCACACCTGCTTACGAAATCGGAAATCACATCCCAGTGGGTATGACAAGGGGTTGGATCATTAAGCTAAAAACGTTCGATTCAATCCCTTTGATCCGGGCTGGGGGGGAGGGGGAGATCCACAGTCATCTCTAATCATTGTTACACCAGT